AGTGTCGCTTCAGAGGCCTGGGGAGAACACTGATCTCTGTTTGTCATTGTTTTTAATCGACACAATAACTAAAAACTGGATGTGAATTATTTCATTGAGATTGACTTTTTTTCTATTCATTGAAGTTCCATCCACTAAATATTTGTAACATTGTTGCCAGCATTTCATACATTAGGTTATATCACTATGATTCCATTAAAAATTCAGAGGAAGCAAATCACAGTCCTAAGATTTCAAATTGCTTTCTTGTTGTGCGTGATTTTGACTAATGTTTCATTATGTTGTCTTTATTACCTGTAGTGGATTTGTAAATCCAAAACAATCCGCGAAAAAATGGAAACTACTTGGGATGTAATGACAGAGATGAAGAACAAAATTAAAGCCATGTTAGATTCTGAGAATGATGGGTAGGATACCGTGTTCCTGTCATTTATATTTACCATGTTATAGATAAACTGAATTACCGCTGTACATGTAGGTAATGCTAGTTTTTAACTGAATTCTCTTTCTATATACCAGTATACGAACTCATGTTATCAAATTCCTGGACATGCTAATTGTAGTGTTGTCCAGTAAGACTGTTGATTCAGATGTTCCCAAGAAATCAGAAGGAGATGTTTCATTGGACCAGGTAATGTTTGATATTGCTCTTCGTTAACGCATTTTACTGTGTTAACCATGTTTGTTGACATATATCATCGTGTTAATTGATTCCACTGTGTTCACTTATCACCATGATTACATTACAGATACCACAGAATCATCCCATTCTGAAATATGAAGAGTTGAAGAGTGAAGGACAGAGTACATTTGAGAACTTAATCAAATTTATGGCATCGCCAAGTATAACCAGGTTTGTGAATTCCACATTCGTCAACAGTTGGCTAATATCAAACTGAATGTTATGAGAAGCATCATCAATTACTTTTTTAAGAAAGATAACTATTATTTTGAACATTGACTAACCCAGAATTGCACATCTTGGTGTCCGCTCAGATGCTTTCCATATGCAGGTCATCTGTGAATATATAAATATAATTCAGTCCAGTGTATATGTTACCCTATTCTGTTTTCACTTCTTCAACACAACAATGTATATCGTGAACAATATTTAAAGTGACTACAAATCACATTACTGGTATTCTTTTTTCTTCAGTGTTAACCTGATGGCAACTATGGGTACAATGACAACCATTGGGAAACAAAGACCAATTTTTTTGTCTAAGGTGGTCCAGGCATTTGAGTCCCTACATGGTAGGATTTATCATTTTGTTTTGTTCATGTTTACATCCCATCATGCAAACATCCCATCATGCAGGCCTTACATCCCATCATGCAAGCTTTACATCCCATCATGCAAGCTTTACATCCCATCATGCAAGCTTTACATCCCATCATGCAAGCTTTACATCCCACCATGCAAGCTTTACATCCCATCATGCAAGCTTTACATCCCATCATGCAAGCTTTACATCCCATCATGCAAGCTTTACATCCCACCATGCAAGCTTTTCATCCCACCATGCAAGCTTTACATCCCATCATGCAAGTTTTCCATCCCACCATGCAGGCTTTCCATCCCACCATGCAGGCTTTACTTCCCATCATGCAAGCTTTACATCTCACCATGCAGGCTTTCCATCCCACCATGCAGGCTTTACATCCCACCATGCAGGCTTTACATCCCACCATGCAAGCTTTACTTCCCATCATGCAAGCTTTACATCTCACCATGCAGGCTTTCCATCCCACCATGCAGGCTTTACATCCCATCATGCAAGTTTTACATCCCACCATGCAAGCTTTCCATCCCACCATGCAGGCTTTACTTCCCACCATGCAAGCTTTCCATCCCACCATGCAGGCTTTCCATCCCACCATGCAGGCTTTACATCCCATCATGCAAGTTTTACATCCCACCATGCAAGCTGTACATCCCACCATGCAAGCTTTACATCCCACCATGCAAGCTTTACATCCCATCATGCAAGCTTTACATCCCACCCTGCAAGCTTTCCATCCCACCATGCAAGCTTTCCATCCCACCATGCAAGCTTTCCATCCCATCATGCAAGCTTTCCATCCCACCATGCAAGCTTTACATCCCACCATGCAAGTTTTCCATCTCACCATGCAGGCTTTCCATCCCATCATGCAAGCTTTACATCCCATCATGCAAGCTTTACATCCCACCATGCAAGCTGTACGTCCCACCATGCAAGCTTTACGTCCCACCATGCAGGCATTATATCCTTCATGCATATTACTATTACATTATGTCTTGCATATATTACATCTTGTCACACAAGCTTATCTTGTTTTACTGATTATTTGCAGTGAATTTACCTCCTACCCTTGCTAAGTCACAAGTCAACAGTGTCAGGAAAAATTTAAAGGTAAGATTTGATGATAACTAATTGTTTGCTATCATGAATTTATCTTGCATGTTTTTAATCTCTGTCAGGCACAAATTCGTCCAAAATTTGGACTTGTGTTTTGGGTTCTGTCCATCGATGCATGCATTCATATATCCAATATCATCTCTTGGACTGCACTGATTTTTTTGACGAGTCATTATCAACTATGTTCGCACATTGATTTGTTTTTCATTTTGTTGATCTTTGACTGGTGGCCAATTTTGTTCTGAAAAACACAAAAAATGACCATTTGCACATGTCATCAATGGTTCTTCAGTTATGCCTTGGACGATTACTTTCAAACTTGGATACCAGTCATGGTGGGTCACTGATACACATCATATTGTTTTGCTTTTTGATTTCAATGGCCGACTGTAAACCATTTTGTTTTGTCAAGTCTTCTCTCGATTGTCAGGTACACTCTCACAGCTTTTGTTTAAACTTTGAACAAATGATCCTCTTAGGGATTTCAAAAAAACTGGTGGTCATTTTCGATCAAATATACTAAAACCAAAAATTTTAAACTGGCATGTCTTGACAGATATTATTCAAACTTGGCATGAACGTCACACATGATGGGTTACTGATGCACGTGATTTGATACAAAATGTTGGACTGGCAGCCATCTTGGTTTTATTGTCATGCATTTTTAAACATTTCTTGGACATTCGTTGACCGATTTTGTTCAAAGTAGGTACAAAGACAAGATACAATGGTATCTACGGTATATACACAATTATTTCAACATGTCATCAACCATTGCTGTAGTGCCAGATTCACTTACATTCCATCTTTTTAATTGTCATTACTCATTGTGGATTACTGATCATTTGTTTCAGTGATTTGATTCAAAATTAGTGCATCTCATTTCTTATGCAAAAATGCAAGTTGCAATTGTGTGAATATTTCTCGTAATCAGATGCAATAACATATAGGGGGTTTCTCTCTGCTTTTTTAATACACTAATTCACAACTAGTCCTACATGTACACTCAGCAAATTCCAAATGAACACTTATTATTTGTGATATCTAAGCCCATGTATTTCTTTATTCAAAGACAGAGACTATGTCACTTACGTCTTGTTATTTCAATTTAGATGCAGTTACTAAGTCTTCTAAGACACCCATCATCAGTTGAGTTCCATCCACAGATAACAACACTCTTAACAGACTTAGGAGCCACTCCTCAAGAGGTAACAGTTATATATATGCAAATGTTAATCTAAAAAGACATTTTTGCTCTATTATATCAGTGTATACGCTTATATAAATATATAGCTAAAATTAAATAAATGATCCAGTGTAAGAAAATGCAGTTTTTGGTTTCTTTGCACTTCTATTGGCAATGCACTTCTAATAGAGTAAATAAGGTATTTTGTGAGTACTATCAAGAGGAATGCTTTCATCTATTTTTTGTTTTTTTTAATGACAAACAAATGAACTATCATCTATTTTCTTGCTAGATTTCTAAGAATATTGCCAGACCAGCTGAGACTTCTAAAAGAGCACGTACTGTGGATGAAGATGCAACAGCTTCCACTTCAAAGAAAGCTAAGGTACATGTATTGTTGTAATTGTAGTTAAGATAAAATCTGAAATCACTCAAAAATGACTAATGAATTATTCGTTAATATTGACTTATTGCATGTTCATGGTTGTATCTTACAGCTGAGCGAGGAGCCTGCAGTGCCATCAACATCAATGGTTGCTAAGAAACCAACTACATCATCTCCTATATCAGATGTAGATCTCATGGCTGAAGAAATTCAACCTCTATTGAATGTGG